AAACCCTTCTCTAGCAAATGAGCTGGAGATTTCTTCTTCCTGATAGGATTCTGATTTTGGGTAGAGTAAGCATTGATGACAAAGTCCCACGAAGACAGTACAGTGAGACACAGCCAAGTCCAGAAGCAACAGTGTTTAATGAAGGAGAAAATTGTTTAATTTAGCATTTAGCCCAAGTATCTGGGCACATGGTGACTAACAACCAAATGTGTTAGGAGAGGCAGTGGCCTGTCCCCTCTGTCTCCCTGCTCTGTGATTTTGTGGTACCATACGTGACAAACAGTACATTTGTACTTTGTGATGCATTTGTCTGAACAGGAGAGTGTGTGTATGTGCCTGCGTGTGTGTGTGGCTGGGGGACTGTCAGATGGGATTTCAACAGCTGGTTCAGTGCAAGATGACTGGGCAATTCACATTATAAAGGTGTATGTTTCAGAGCCAGAGGCATTTCTAATGCAGAAAATGTTCTGGCCATCTCTGCATCTTATTGTTTTTACATTTTATCGTATGAGACTTGAGAGAGGACCTCTTTGCTATGCCATGGAGGGAGCATGGAAATATACAGATTTCTTACCCCAGGCTTTGAATGAGTTACCATACTCTTTCCGTGCTTTGTGAAGAGTAATTCTGCCTTTATTTTTTCACCTATTAAGGCATCTCTCTGTCCATTTTGAGAAATAATACCGTAGTTTATCAAATAATTGCCTATATGCAGATGAGGCTCCATTCTGCTTTTCCTTTTTATCAAATCCAAATACTGCTGTGTGCCTTCCCTATGCCTGGCAGATAGAGAAATATCTGTCTGGGAGAAATGCAACCTTATTTAAGATGGAGGGAATAAACTTGAACCAGCAGGGGAAAAAAACATTACAGAAATTGCCTTGACTGTGAGTAGCCCTTAAGTTGGTGAGGATCAGATACACACTCCTCTGCCACTTTGTCACATTCCTCTGCCACTTTGTAGGCTGTATTTTATCTGCTTCTGAATCTCAGTTCCTTGATAACAGCAGTGACGTATGCCATACTGTCTTTTTTTATCTACAGCTGCCCTATCTATTATGGCAATCCCTCTTTGATTGACAGTTATCTATTTTTTTCTGACCTGAGGCCAAGCTTATTGCAATACGCTCCTTTTAGTGCTATCACTGAAACACATCCAAAAGCTTCAACTGCTGCATAATGTGTCAGTTCAACATTTGAATGAAGCAAGCACATATTGTTGGGAGCACGTGTGTTTTTGTTGCTCTGCCACATCTAGCAGTTAACAGAAGACACAGCTCAAACCATGGTAAGTGGTAGAAATGGCTCCGTGGTCTGAAACACTGTTGTTTGCAGAGACTTTTGTGTCCAGTTGCTATGACATGGAGTGTTGCCTGCCTGTTTGGTCAGTTCCAGAAATTTTAATGATCAGAAAAAGATATCTCAATGCACTGCTCTAGGCCAGTGTTCCCTTGTTGAGGAGGAAGAGTTTCCTGCTGGAAAACATCTGGTCGAAAAGCACAAACTTCTGCCTCTTGGTTTCTGTAGTCCATGAATATACAAATCTAGGAATTGTCCCCATATTCAGGGGATGGATTGAATTAACGTCCTATGTCCTAGCCTTTCACTACTGAAGAATAAGAATTATGCCTTTCATTGCACTTCCTACTGGTAATTTCTACCTTCTACACAACCCTTTTATATCCCCATGTAAGGATGTAATTTGCTGCTGGGGTTCCTTTACCATCAGGATTCAAATTCCAGGTGAACTCAAATATGAGGCATCTGCAAATTTCTCTCTAAAATGCCAGGCAGGAAGAAAAGAGGAGCTGGGACTGGCGCCTCATGCACCATTCTTCATCAGAGTTGTGCATCCATGTTCAGCAGGGTAGAGAAGCCCTGGAGCCACGCACAGCTCAGGGGAACCCTGCACACTAGCTGGAGCAGAGGGGATAGGCTCTTTTGTTATTGTGGGTACTGGGACATACAGAGATGTGATGAGAAAACACAGAAATCGTAATGGCTTTTGATATAATCTTTTCCTCTGCCCTGTGATAAGTGGCAAGAAGGTTGACCTTCTTCCCAGCTCCTCCAGGTCAGGCCTGGGAGTCGATGGGAGGAGCAGGGGCTGCATTGGAGCTGCTCATGCAGCATTTGTTCTGAGGGACAAAGCAGGAGCCACCTCTGGATCTGTCACTTCTCTCACAGGTCCTGAGTATGCCATTTTAAAACAGTGAACCTTGGCACATTCTTCATGGGGTTTGCACAGTCATGTCTAGCGTAGGAGTGTTTCTCAATGATGTCTGTCTCCATGGATTCAGAGGTGACACCAGGTTTGTATGTTGCCTCTCTGACACTACCATCCCCGTGATTAAGGCAGAGATCCTGAGTCACCTTCAAAAAAAAATTAAAATTTCCGGCAAAGCTGTAGGCCATCTGTTAATGTGGGCAGACAAGAACACACTGTGTAGGAAAACTCAGTCACATGGCAGTGTTTATATGTCACCACAGCCATTTCTTTTAACCATGTTAAATGACATTCTAATTATTGTCTACATTATTTTTCTGTAAGAAATTGTAACAAACAGCAACCCTGTAGTGAAATGATTCCTTTAAATGAGACCATTCCTCAAAGTCACTTTATGAATATGCAAATCCTATCTATATTTTAAAATTGCATTGATTTTATAGATAGAGAAACCTCTATCAAAAATCAGCAGATCCCTTTTGAAAAAACCCTGAGTTTTCTTCTCTCTGGGACTCAGGAGATAGCATATGAACTGTCACATTCCTGCCACTGCAGGTATTAGCAGTACTGACACATGGTGGCATATAGCAGCTGCTATTCGATGCAATGCAGTAGAAAGTGCCCCAAGTCCAGCAATGTCTGCTTGCACTATGTCTTGTACGGTGTAACGACACAGTCTGTTACCGCTTGTGACAGTCACAGCAGCTATGGCTCCCTATTCCGTACTTACCAGAAAGCAAGTGACTCCTCAAAATTAGAATCTCCTTGCGCGTTCCTAGCCTGCGAAGGCAGGGATATTCTTAGCAGTACCCTGTAGACTCATGTTCACAACAAACTAAAAATGTCAGGCCAATGCAGACACTGATCTGCTGTTCTAACCCCAAAAAGCTGTGCCTAGCACTGGTTTCTTACATGTGCTGGCTGTGACCACAAAACCTTTCCTTCCCTGCACCAAATTTTTGCTTTCAGAAATAATCCCGTAGAGGCAAGTAGCTATAAGGACTATGGTGTATGCTTGAATGGCAAGTTCTGCCCAAAAATCTGGTGACACAAGAAGGGGTGACTTGCTAGTCAGCATAGTTTGCAACAAAAATGGAAAAAACCAAAATGACTCCTTTCACTAGAGGAAGACGTAGTTCACTGATGAACAGGTTATAACTATATGGTGTGTTAGTAAAGGGTATTGAAGACTGACAGTCTTTGGCCCTTAACTTCATGCAGACCCCTGAAAAATATCTCTCCCTGCAATGGGAGACTTGTTAGTGGGGAAGGGAACTTTTACAAAGATGTAAATAGCAAAGCAGGTGGCTGAATCTCCCAAGACTTGAAAATGTAAGGATGTTTTTGCCTTATGCAGAGAGAAACACTGTCCTTTTTAGTTTGTGCTGCTTGGGAAGCCTTTAGAGATGATCAGAAAGCAGACACACTGCTGTGAGCAACAAGAGCCAGAGAATTCTGTGAAGTGTTGTGTTCCCTGGGTGTCCCTGTTCAATGATGTGCTGCTGTTCCTCAGTTCTCTATCCTGACCCTTGCTGCAGCCTCCTCTCCATCTTCCACCACCTCCAAAGGCTCCTTCTCAGAGTGCCAGGGCTGGGCAGACTCCAGCCAATCTGTCACATTTGCCAGGGTGCATGATAGAGAATTTACACAGCTTTTACATTTCTAGGACAGATTCCTCAAATTCTCAGCAACTGAAGGACAGAGGATTTTGGCGTAGTTAGAGCAGTCTGTACAAAAAGTATCTGCTCTGGACTGAAGCCTTGTGTGACCGGCAAATCTGAACCAGCGTACTTGGGCAGCTTTTCCTGTTGTACAGCAGAGGTGTTTCTTACCCCATATCAGAGACCAAATTCTGGATCTCCCTATACTACATAAGTGTGGCTCAAGGATTTTCAAAATCTTCAGGTGCATAGCGCAGACCCTATAATCCCTCTCTTGAGAATCCTGCCAAGCCTTGCATGTGGAGCATGCCTTGGCTTCAGCTCTTGCTCCGCCACAATGCTGTTTGGCTGGAGGCCAGCTGCACCTGCTGGAGAGGGACTTGAGGCTTGCAACCCTGTTGGGAAGAACATGCTTTTGGTACACTTAGCAGCAGCAGCATCATATTGTGGGCTTTCCCTTGTGCTTGAGGGTGCACTGTATGTATACAACTGCAGGACAGCGCGTCTGTCTGCCTTGTGACTTAACATTGCAGATCTCTGGCTTTCTCATGTGACCCCCTGTGTAGCAGCTCACACATCTCCAGTAGAGAACTCTGTCTAACACCCAGTTATCACTCCAGAAGGGAAGCCAGGCACAATTTGTATGCTGTCACTACGTAGCAAAAGCATTTCATGAGCTGGTAGTGAGGAATCTGAACTGAATGCTGCCTGCAGTCTGTGGCCAGGCAGTCATATCCACAGTGTTGTTTCAAACGTGATGGATCCTCGTGTGGGAGAAGGAAAAATTTTCCCTGCTTCAGCTGGTGTGAAAACTTCCACCTGGCTAGAAGATAAGGCTTCAACCTTTGCATGGGAGTTTTAAGACTCAGTGAATGCAATACCTGCTATATGTGGCCCCTGGTTTGGGCAATTGTGTAATTTAAATTCTGATTACTCTTAAGAACCACACTGAAGTGGAGGTTAAGAACAATGAAAACTGAAAAACAGAAACCCTGAGTATGTATCAGACTGTGCTGCCATATGTGTCCCTCTGTTAAAAGACAACAGATGTTACTTATTTCACATTTAATTTCAGGCTTCCCATAAGCACTCACCTTCTCGATGCAGGTGTGTTATGGGTGGTTCTTCCCTGTCACTGCTGTGTCCAGGGTTGCTGTCTCTGGGTGAGGGGACAGACCGCACCCTCCAGCCAGGCCCCTGCAGGGGGTCTCTGCATAACTCCATGGCCCTGGGCTGCCCTGCTTGCCCTCCTTGGGCTGCAGCGTGTCTGCTAGAGAGGCAGTGGTGCTGTATGAAGCTTGGGAAAAAGTAGCAGGTATGTCTGAGCAGACAGAGTTAAAGAGAGGTAAAAATGTTGGTCTACTAAGAGTTGTAGGAGAGACAGAGTCACTTGGACTGATATCAAATGTAAAGTCTTTTAAATAAGAGAGTGCTTGATTATTTAGCTGGGCATAGTCAAAATTTATCTTGCTTCTAGTGATCTCATCTAGGATTTTTGCTCTACTTTTCTGATCTTCAGAGCAAATTTGCTCCCCATTTTGCTTCAAATGATACAGACTGCTGGATTGGAAACTTGTCTCATAGTTGCATTGGTTTGTGCTAGGAATACTTGAATATTCTGGATTTTGAACAATGCAGTTGCACTCATTTTGCAATAATAACTTATTTTTGTACTGAGACATCTTATGAATAATATTGTTCATTTCATTCCCAATGCATTTGTCTTCCAGGTGCTTGTTTTCATAGCTGATTTTTAATGATGCCACTTGTGTTACACAGTGCTCTAAGAGCTGTACTATATTAGTGCTGCTCTCCATTGATGTGGGGCTAATGTAGCTCTGGAAGTGTCTGAGAGTAAGAGGCTGCAGTGGTTTGTCACAGGAAATTGAGAGAGAGTGATACATTGGTTTATTTCTGTCCTCTTTCTCAAGGGGATCCAGGAGTGAGGTTGCAGCAGTCATGTAGGAGTAACATGATTCCACTTCGTGATTATCATCGAATGAAGGGTTTTCAGAGCTTTGAAAGCCACTCTCCACGTTCAACTTTTCTGGCAGTAGGTTTTTATCTCCAGGTGTCTTGCATCCTTCTGAAATTGTTGCCTTCTCCTTCTCAGTTGAAGATATCTGCAGATTGTCTCCATTAGCCCATGGTTGTGGTGCATAACTTGATGCTTTGGTGGTTTCCACAGTCCCAGGCACTGTAGATGATTCCTTGCAGTGACTCCCTTCCTTTCCTTGTAAATCCAGATTAAATGTGTTAGGGCAAGAGTCCAGGCTGTGGTCTCTTTCAGCAACATCTCCTGAAGAGGCTTGGTTTGCGTGTTTGCTTTCATCCAAAGACAAGTGTAGGTTAAATGTATTAGTTTCTTCCTTGCTTGATTTCTCCTGCTGAGCTTCTGTGCTCACTTTCTGCTCTGGACTGGGGCTGGGCAAGATCGATGAATCGTTAGACTTTTCTAGCTGTGATTGAGGACTCTGAAGAGAGTCAGGGGAGGAAACAAGTCCCGAGTGTTTTCTCAGCCAGTTTATTATCCCCATAGTCAGTGAAAGCTCAGTATCGCAAAGCTTTAGCAAACATTCTTTACCTTTCCATGTGCTGTGGAAAAAACCCTGGCTGATAATGTCTAGAGTTGGTTGGGAGGCCATGTTCTCCTCAGCTCCAACATGAAAGCTGTAAATGGACAAAGGGATTTCAATGGCTTGTTCTGAAATGCTTTCAGTTGTGCACAAGTCATCGTCCAGGACTGGGTTTATTTTGACTTCATTTGGGTCATAGAAAAGCTCATAAAGGGCATCTCCACTGTAGCTTTCTCTTGGAAATCTACCTGGAACCCCAGGGGTCTGAGCTTCCTTCATTTCATCATCTTGTGCAGGAGACAATGAATCATAGTAGCCTTCATCACTTGTGGATGTGGATTCCTGGTTGTCACTTTTTGGTGTTCCTGTTTCTCTGGAGCTCTCTTTGGAATTGTCACTATGTTTGTCAGGTGACACTTGAGGCTCTGTCACAGATGCAGCAGCCTGGCTTCTAGCCTTTTCCCCATCAGGACCGGGTACCTTTTGTAACTTCTTGTCAAACAGAGCACTCTGATGTAGCCTCACTGATTTGTTGATATTGTCCCAAAACTTTGCAAATTCAACGGTCTCATTCTGGCCAGGAGAGGCCAGCTGCTCCACACCCCCTTGGAAGGAGCCCATGACAGGGCTGTCTTTGTGCTTGCTTCGTCTCAGCAGAACTTCTTTGCTGCTCTCTAGCTCCAAGTGAGCAGAGCTCTCATCAGCAAAGATTTCCCCACAGCCAGTGAGCGAGTCAAAGCTCTTCAGCGAGGCGACATCTTCACACAGGGTGTTGCAGTAGTCGTAGGAAGAGTCAGACTGCAGCTCACTGTCTGAGCAGTCTTGTGACAAGCAATCAGCTGCAAACGGCTCTCCGGTTTTGAAAAGGTATTTTGCAAGACGCCCAGACAGCTCACTCTTGCAGCCTGGAGAGGACAGGTTCTTGTCCTTCTCAACCAGGAATGTGAGGTTGTCTGGTTTGGTTTTTTTAATATGAAAAATGTCTCTGAGCCCTTTCTTAGATCTCTTGAGGGAAATCCTCTTCCTGGGTATGGTTTTTGCAACAGCTGGTACAAAAGGCATCTGTGGCACAAAGTTCCTGTAATCGATCATCTGACTGCTGCATGCAGACTGGCTGGGGCTGACCACACAACTGCTGGAGCTGGACACCCCTGAGAAGCTGATGCTATTGACAAGTCTGCTCTTACCCTTTCCAGAAAAACCTTCTTCAGAAGCCCTGCTGCTGGGGCTGCAGTGCTCCATTTTGTCTGCCTCAGCAACGCAATCGTGGGTTTTACTCTTCCTTACAAGTTTGTAGGAGGACCCAGATGATTTTTCCAGGCTGTGGTCACCAGCTCCATTCCGTGCTGCTCTGGTAGAAAATCTGTAGTTCTTGTGTGTGGCCAAGCATGCCAACTGGACTTCAGCTACACTTTGGTTTCCCTCCAGAGCTGCCTTTTTGTCCTTCCCCATATCGTCTTTGTTAATAGGAACTGTGTGCACCGGTGGCACTTTCTCATGTTGCGCACTGGATTTTATGAAAGTTTTTCCTCTCTTGAGCTCCATGCTGCTTCTTCACATCTGTTTCTGTAAAGAAAACAGCAGAACAAAAAAATTGTGAGGTTGGTGTCTAGCACTTGTAAAATTTGAAAACAAATGGAGAACAAAGGGATGGATATTAAGCATTATAGAATTGAGTTTGTCACCAGAAATTTCCACCACTGTGTCATGGCACTGCATGAGAAACAGATGGAATGAAACTGAAGGTACGTGGGCAATGGCTGGAAGATCCAGCAAGGAGAAGACAGTACCCATTATGAGTTGGTAGCTGAGGCTCAGAGAACGTTTTGTCTGTTAGAAATGAGGGGTTTGAATTTAGGATTATAACTTCAGAGTGGCTCTTAACAAGATAGAGGTTCTATTCCAGAACTAGAAGAGGCATCAATGAAAAGCAATGCCTGAGGAACTTTAACATGCAAGTGTGTGCATCAGGGAGGGAGCAGCTCATAAATCCCTACCTTTGAGGAGGACAAAGAGCTCAAGGTGCGAAATCTGAGAAAATGGATCAAACATTTGACACATGCTCACTTTATATTAAATTAATCCTTACCTGTGAAAAGAAAATCCACAAACCTTGGTACTACCCTGGGAAGCATGCTGAAACTCAATTACTGTTTTTGCTTCCTCCTGAGCATAATGTATTATTTCCCACACTACTGCTTTTATTGTAAAAGGTAGAAAATGACACATAGAAAATCACTGTTAATTATGACAGAAGTGTCATTTATGATCTGCAAAGACCAGTGTAGTACACTGACGCATTGCCATGTTGAATCTGCTTTTTCATTGACTAGCTATTTCTAAAAATACTCTATTACCTCTATCAATAACAATTCTGGACTCTGTCTATATGGTTTAGTTTTGAATCTGTTTCACGTTTTCATAAATCTAATTAGTTGTTAATTATTCTAGCCATGACACTTTCATTTTTCCAGCAGTTATTTCCTATCTGATCATTTCCTGTCTTGTATCAACTTGAATATGGAGTAAGTCAATTGAGTTATTTAAAGGTGGATCAGGGAAGAAGCGAGCACTTCCTAAAAGCTGTTAGAGAAACCAGATTTCTACTGGATGGGAAGCAGGACAAAACCTCCAGGTCCTGCTCTTGAAAGACTGTGCTTGGATCTTTCCTTAATGAAAGCTCAGTTAATGATTTATCTTGTTTTGAATTGTTTAGATGTAACTAAAACCACTTAGAGCCATTGAACTCTGCAACACACATAACCAACACTCTAGCACTCCTTGACAAACCATATGTAACAGCTTTGATGAAATTAAAAAGTGACAGCACTCCCTTGAGAACAATCTCTGATCAGATCCATGGATCCAGACCTGAAACCAGTACAGAAACAAGCCAGGGAGAGTTTAAATTCAGTACCAAGCCTAGCCTTTGTATGCTGTTGAAGTACAACTTAAAGCAGTCTTCTGTGTACCTTGAACTATAACAGCTGTCTGACACCTCCAGAGGCTTTTCAGTTGCCAAGGCTTGCTGGGAACAGCAACACTCTGACCAACACCTCATGATATACAGGTCTGTGTATCTGGGAGTTGTGTCACCTGCAGCGCTTCTCCAGCAGGCAGATCAGTGACAGCCTGTTTCTCACAGAAGCTGCAAACCAGCAGGTGACTAGCATTATTTACAACTAAATGTAGGTCAGTGACAAACGCAGGGGTAAAGCGTGAATATTCAACAAGAAGAGTATGGATGCTATGGAAAACATGGTGGGGGTGATAGATGGGCGTCTATCAGTATGTTTGAGATGTTGGCAGATTTGTTTACATGTGGGGCTGCATGTGAGTGTCGCAGAGCATTCTTAATGAAAACCAGTAAACATTTTACTACACTGTCAGGTATCTGGAGTTCACTGATGCTGCACGAAACTTGTTTTGCATGTTTAGAAATAGGTCACTGGGACACGATTACACTCTCCTTCTGAAAAGCAAGGTGCGATTGAGAAGAAATTCAGTGTGCAGAACTGCAGCAGAGTTGTGAAAATGATCAGAGGCAGCTGACGCAAGACCAACTATTAATATCCCAAAAATAAAGTGTCTGACATCTCAGTCCTTTGCAGTTGTAGAAGTAGGTACTGTGTCCCTGTGGGAAGTCCTGCTGCTGAGAAGCTTAGAGGTCTGTGACATGGCAAATGCTGGTATTATACCAACATAATGTAGGACCCTCTGAAGTCCTGCAGCTGTTCCTGCCTGTTTTGAGTATTTCTCAAGGGTCATTTTTGTAGGAAATTGCATACTTGCAAAGTTATGATGCATTAAAAAGGGCCTTAGAGGTGTATTTGTTTTATTGTCAAGTATTAAACTTATTAAAGGTAAGAATTCAGGATGTCGTTAGATAATCTTTTGAACAAAGAAACCTTTGATCTGAATTGCATCTCCTTGATGAGAAACACAATGGAGTATCAGTTTGATAACTGGGTTTGGAAACTTCAAGGCTTGTTCTTCCATCTTTTTTTTTGTAGATTAGATGAACAGTTTTAACATGAAAGCCCAAATGGCCTGAATAACATCTGTGCTGAGAATATATGTAGTATAATAATGTAAGATACACTGAATGTAGCCTTTTTCAGTTTCCTCTGATGAGGAAAAAAAAATAGGTTAGGTGTTCATTTGTTAGTTCTTTGGGTTTTTTTAAAATACCTGCTATATGTATAATCACCAACTTTGTATTCTAACTTTTTAATGTCTCTATTTAGTCCCATATATTCTTTTTCTCATCTTCCCCCAGGATTCATGCCAGACTAATTAGTATCTAGTTCATTGTGTCATCCTGCTTATCCTGTTTTAACACTGGCACAGCTTCGGGAATCTTCCCTGTTAAAAATGTTACTGAAAGTGAACACCAAGAAAGGGAAGATCTCCCCAGTCAACTCTTAGAGGACTCTTAAGGGCAAATTTTTAAAAATACTTGTCTCAGATGATGTTTTGTAACTTCCCCTACTATGAGTTCCTCTTCGTCCTCATATGATATAAATTATCAGTGAGCTTCTTTTCAAATATAGAACAGAAATATTTATGCAGTGCCACTCTCTATATCTATTAATACTTGTAGCAATTTTTTGTTTTAATGGGCTATACCATTGTACCTTTTTCCTCTCTGCAGGGACACAAGTTATATCTCTGACCCCAGAAGCTGTACCAGTGAAGTTAGAAACAGATTAAAGTGCTGTAAGGGAAAGTTACCTCCAGTGGTTATGTAAAGCTAACCAAAACTCTATGAAAAATGATTCTAGGCATATAAAAAATGGTACATCTTCTCTGGGATTTCTTGACCCATGCACTTAACTACACTATTGCCTGTCTCTGCTCCTTTTTAATTATTCTCCTCTTGGACTTAACATGCAGTATATCTCTTCTTCCACAGGGATAAAGGATATATGAGGGACTGATTTCACCTTTGCAAAGGAAAGATATTTTGCAATTAAAAATCACTGTAAAGAAGAGAAACCTGTGGAAACCAGCAGTCAGTCTACTAAGGCTAGGTGGTTCTGTTTTCAATAGGCTCTGGATGTTTTCTTCGTTAATGTTACTTGACCTCTTTTTTTAATATCTGTGAAATTACTTATGGAACACATGTTTAAATAGAGGACATCCTTAAATCTTATACTGGGCTACAGTTTAATTGTCACTTACAATGGTCTTGGGCACAGCAGCATTGAGACTTTGCACCTATGGTAAACAGTTTTTATCTGTCTTGATCATACAAGCTGCTCACTTTTAGGATTTCACAAGTGTCTAAGCAGGTAATTAAATCTGGTTTTTGGGCTTATACTATAATGGAAATAAAGTCTTGGTTTAATTTTGGATAATATTGCTCATGAAATGCAGAGATACTTCATGCTCAAACATCTACTGTCTGTGCAGGGTGTCTGTCAGTCTTTTCATGAAAACAGAAGGTTTTACCGTGTCTGTGATTCATCTAAGTAAACTAAAGTTTTAGAATGGGAAGATGAACACATTCCTGTGGGCTGAGGAGACTTGCTTTTAGGACAGTCAAAGCAATAGCTTACAGTTAGGAGGACCTGACCAAGACTGAGTTAGGTAACTGTTCTGGTTAAGAGCCGTCCGTACTCAGGTGGCCTAAATTCTACCCAAGTCCAGGTCAACAGACAAGGAGGTTAAAGAGGGGTGCAGTGGAGCTGGACTGAATATTCATTAGGAGGCAGAAGGAAGATATCTGGAGGCAGGATTCAAACTGTTCAAATATTGCTTCTGTCATGTGGGTCAGAGAAGAGATGGGGTCACACCTGCCTCTGCCCATGGCCCCCAAAGCTTTCTGCCAGGCTGAACTGTCTACAGTTTTCCCTCTCTGGAGGAATGGGGGAAGACTTGCTTTGGTACTGGAGCTGGTGTCAAAGTTATTATCTTGAACCTTACTTGCTTATCTCACAGTAGAAAGGTTTGTTTAGGTTATCTTCAAAAAAGGTAAAATACGCTGTGCTTTATTGTGTCAGTAGCTAAAATAGCAGCGCTCTTGGATGTAACTCTAGGAAGATCATCCTACTGGGAAAGTAGAAGTACCTGCTTCAGTGAGGTGCATGGATAGAAAAAATAGTATTATGAAGAGGAAATTTAGATGAACTCTCTGTCTTCAGCAAGTTTGACTCAAAATTACTTTTGCTTAAGTAGGAAAAAAATATAATTAAGGTTAATTTATTGCAAAGTCTTATCAGCTGTCTGGCTTGGACATTCTTACTTGCTTGTTTGAGGTGTCATTTATATATAATTGTCTCTTGTGGAGACAGAAATAAGCAAAATTCAGAATACAGTTGTTGTTTTGCAGGGGAGATAGGAGTGCTCTTTCTGCTTCTTTACATTTGGATCATTTTTAAAATTGGCAGGCTGTGGAGATGGGACCTTGCTGTCTCTTGCTATGCAGAATTCTGCATGCCACTTGGAGTATAAATTTCACCTCCCTCCAAGCATTTTCCTTTTATTAACTGAAAGAGGTGATAAACATTGCATACTCTTTTAGGTTTTTTAATTTAAAATGA